TAATGAGTTAGATTGTCGTCTGCTAGGACAGTGGAATAACTCAGTCAGTAGCGAGTTGGATTGTCGTCTGCTAGGACAGTGGAATTGCTCAGTCAGTAATGATTTAGATTGTCGTCTGCTAGGACAATGGAATAACTCAGTCAGTAGCGAGTTGGTTTGTCGTCTGCTAGGACAGTGGAATTGCTCAGTCAGTAATGAGTTAGATTGTCGTCTGCTAGGACAGTGGAATAACTCAGTCAGTAGCGAGTTGGATTGTCGTCTGCTAGGACAGTGGAATAGCTCAGTCAATAGCGAGTTGGATTGTCGTCTGCTAGGACAGTGGAATAGCTCAGTCGTAGTGAGTTGGATTGTCGTCTGCTAGGACAGTGGAATAGCTCAGTCAATAGCGAGTTGGATTGTCGTCTGCTAGGACAGTGGAATAGCTCAGTCAGTAGCGAGTTGGATTGTCGTCTGCTAGGACAGTGGAATAGCTCAGTCAGTAGTGAGTTGGATTGTCGTCTGCTAGGACAGTGGAATAGCTCAGTCAATAGCGAGTTGGATTGTCGTCTGCTAGGACAGTGGAATAGCTCAGTCAATAGTGAGTTGGATTGTCGTCTGCTAGGACAGTGGAATAGCTCAGTCAGTAGTGAGTTGGATTGTTGTCTGCTAGGACAGTGGAATAGCTCAGTCAGTAGTGAGTTGGATTGTCGTCTGATAGGAAAGTAGAATAGCTCAGTCAGTAGTGAGTTGGATTGTCGTCTGATAGGACAGTGGAATAGCTCAGTCAGTAGCGAGTTGGATTGTCGTCTGATAGGACAGTGGAATAGCTCAGTCAGTAGTGAGTTGGATTGTTGTCTGCTAGGACAGTGGAATAGCTCAGTCAGTAGTGAGTTGGATTGTCGTGGGTTCGAATCTCCAAACTGTCAGCTTTCAACTCTTATCCCCCTCGAGTTAACTGCCATAAGTAAGTAATAAAAATTCAAGGCCAGCGTTTTCGAAATTGTCACCAAATGAGTTTACTGAATCCAGAAAGAACGTTTGATGAGAGTTATCTACCTTTGCCTGTCCGTTATTATTATCAATACTGTCGTCTGAGTTGGGATGCGGTTGAAGATAGTCATCTGCCTCCACCACTTCCTCCGGTCCACCATCGTTAACGACACT